GTTTGCTACATTTGTGGTCGTGAATATGGAACAAAATCTATCAGCATTCATGAGCCACAATGTCTGAAAAAATGGCATAATGAAAACAACTTGTTGCCGAAAGAGTTAAGGAGACCAGTGCCTAAAAAACCAGAAGTCAGAACCATTACTGGTAAGTTCCTAGAAAAAAATTTGAGTGCATAAGGGGAGACTTTTCTCTCTAAACTAGTAAGAGCAGAAGTGTTGTTTTTCACTTATTCAAACAACCAAAATCAGCAACATTTACTGCCTTGGTTACAGCCAAATAAGAAAAACAGTTCTAGGATGCCTGTCCGAAGTACTGTCTTCTGGTGCTGAGACATAAAGACACTATGTCCTGGCAATACTGTGCATGAGTGGGAGCTACAGGAATTTGCTGTATTTCCCAAAGCTCCTTTCACATATCATCAAACCCTTTGAATGTAAAATGAATAATAAAATACTTAAAATAAAAATAAACTTAAAAAAATATATGAACCTTGGGCCAGGTGCAGTGTCTCATGCCTATAATCCCAGCACTTTGGGAGGCTAAGGCGGGTGGATCACAAGTTCAAGAGATTGAGACCATCCTGGTCAACATGGTGAAATCCCATCTCTACTAAAAATACAAAAAAAAAATTAGCTGGGCATGGTGGCGCAGCCTGTAGTCCCAGCTACTCGGGAGGCTAAGGCAGGAGAATTACTTGAACCCAGGGGGCAGAGGTTGCGGTGGGCTGAGTTCGCACCATTGCACTACAGCCTGGGAAATGAGCGGAAAAAAAAAATATATATATATATATATATATGTGTATATATATATATATATACACATATATATATATGAGAAACTTTTAAAAAACACCTTTGGAAACATCCAAAGTCATGTTTCCAAATATGAATGTGTCTTATTGTTCACAGAACAGAGGTACCAAACTCGAATTTTCACTAGGTCCACTAGTCAGTGTACTGGTCTGTGCGTGCAACAAAGGGGAGGTGGGGGCTATGATGAGCTGTGGAGCATCAGCTCACTCTAAAGGAGACAAGCAGCTGCCCAGTTCCCACTGGTGTTATCATTAAGAAATTTAGTCCAATGTGCTCATATCTTTCAATAACACAAAATAAACTAGAAATCTAGGTATCTGTATAAAATGTCTAGTTTTTTTTGTTTGTTTGTTTTTGTTTTTTTCAGTTAATTATTTGTAAAGCATGGTGCAAACCAAATGAAACTGAAGCTTTGCTGCCGTGTTTGGCCTCATCACAAAGCCTGTTGCTTATTCATTTAGGGTGTAAGGATAGTTAAGGGAATATTTTTGCCATGCAAGCTCAGACTTGCTTATCACATTTTTCCCATTGTCATTTTCTCAGTGAATTCCCTAAACCATCTCATAGGACAAGGCTGGTTTTAAGAAGAGTATCTTTCAGTTCATCCATTCTTCTATGTAACCGTAGATTTGCAATGCTGAAAAGTACCTTGGGGGTAATTTAGTGTCAATTAGTCCAAAGCACTTGTGTCAGTGATGTGACACAAGGAGACTTTTGTAACAACCCACAAAGTAGAGCCTAGATTGTATGATAAATTCTAGATGCTGCTGGATCCCAGCTATTTACAGTCCTTGCCAAAAAGAGGACTTTACATACAGGTGGGAAAACAGCTGAAGATGAAAACAACCAGCTACTGAAATTAAAGCATTTTCTACAAACAGATTGTTTACCTCGTGGAAACTTTCTTCCCAGCAATTCTCATTTGGTGTCAAAATCTGTTTCCTTCCCTTCTGATCTTTATTACTTTCTTCGTTTGACCATAACTACTGGAAGGCTAGAAGTAAGAGGAATGATTGATCTGACAGCCCTGGTGGGTTCACTATTCCGTTACTGCCTACAGATGAAAAAGATATGTCCTGTAACTGCACCTCCCTGAAGTCTTCCTCTCAGTCCCATGTTATTTCTATCTCTGAAGATGCCCATCCTCTCTCGGTAAAAATAATTCACATTACCATTTTTGTACCATGAACTCATTGTAGTCACAGGGTTCAAATAACCCTTCTTCTTGGTCTGAAGTCAAAGCCCTATGCAAAAACACTTAGAAATTGATGAATCACCTCCAAGTGAGAGTCAGTGACTCCTCTGGAATTTCTGAGTTCGTATTAAAACTCGTATGAGTAACACGGAAGTCAGTGTCATCCTTTTCTTATTTTTCACAGCACTCAAAATACGCGTTCATATCCTACACAGACAGTGACATTTGTTTTATCCAAAGAAGAAATACTAGATTTTGCTGGGATTTAAATTCCCATGGAGCAAAAAAGTGAGCATTAGGAGCATACACGTTAAAAAATTTAAGGTTCACTGTGGTTATGTGAATCATTCGATAGAAATCATATGAGAATTGCCTAGGCCTTAACAAAGTAATCTATGCTGTACCAAAGATAAAAACTAAGTCATATGTTTTTGAGTGCCTTGTTACTTTTCGGGGACCTATTTTCAGTGATTCTAAGACATAGTCAATTTAATGTACTAAAGTCATTCTATTTAACTAAGGTTTACTAAAGATAAATCCCACGTTGCTGCTCTAAAATAAATCCATATGCTTTTATTCCCCATGTTCTGCCAATGAAGATTATACACTTCTCATCTGTCTTTGTTATTTTCTTAAGGACGCATCTTTTTGTCAGATTATTCTGTTTGCATTCTCCACTTTGATTACTTAAAGAATCTCTGAGTTTATGACCATGAAGAGATAACTTTGGGAGATATAATTCATCTTAATTCACTCTCAACTGTCAGTTTTGGCTTCTAAAAAAATTTCCACTGAAGGAGTACAGAAAAGGAAAATACGAATACATGCTAATTCCCCTTCGTAAGCTTATATTTAGAGTCAACTGAAAGAAGGCCAAGAGTTATATTTGCAAGATAATAATGTGTGTGCAAGGATGTGAATAATTAGTGAAGAATGCATATCATGTAAAACAATGTCTTTCCCTTTTTAAAATCCAAAGAGTGAAAAGCCTCTGTTTGGTTCCTAGTTAACTTTACTCAACCCTTGAAAGAGCGAGCAGCACTTTCTTTTTTGGAGGCAAAAGTAATATGATTTGTTTAAAATACTCAGTCAATATGTATTTCCCGAAAATATTTTCCATAGAAAGTAGAATATGGTTCTCCTGAATAAAAACTGATCCATTTTACTTTTTTCTTTCCCTTTTCTTTTTTATCTTTTTTCTTTTTTTCCTTTTCCTTTTTTTCCTTTAACTTTCCAGCCAAAGGCTTCTATGATCTTGACGCTTTAAATGAAGCTGCTTGGACAAGTGCCCAGAGCCAGTTGGTTCCCTGTAATGTTTGTGGGCGTACCTTCCTGCCAGACAGACTGATTGTTCACCAACGATCTTGTAAACCCAAAGCCGCCAAGTAAAGCCCTTTTCTCTCTGCTGAAGTGTTACAGGAATTAATCCCTTTGAAAGAGATTGGGATAGAGTGGGAAGGAGAAAAAGGAGGTGATGAGGGGAAATGAGGAAAACTAGAATTGACCAAGGGCTGGTCTAGCAGGGGAGGCTCTTTGGTGTTGCAAGCGTTGCTCACGATTATGCAGTTGGGCAAATGCTCTGGTTTTAACAAGCAGCTGCATATGCATAGGCACGCTGGGGACCATTTCACACTTTTGTCAGGCAGATTTACAAGCAGGCTGCTTCTCATCAGAGCTGGGATTTTTGTCTAAAAGAAATTTTGGAGCCAACGGTCCCCATTTTTCTTCCATTTTCTTTCCTGAACAAGATTTTGAACTTCACAATTAGGACTCTTACTCAGCGCACAAAGGCTTTGGAGGCAACTTCAGGCAACTCCATCCCAGGAAAAACTGGATTTCTTCCCATCCCTGTGCTTTCTGAAATAACCTGTCACTCGGCATGTTCTTTTATCCAGGAACATTTTATGAGTTATTGACTGGGCAGGGTGGGGGGGGCTTCTTTTCTCAATAAGATTGTTCAACAGCAGAGACATTCAAAACATGACTGAGAACTCAAAGTACTGGAACCGTATCTAACTCATTCTCCCTTTCAAGTGGCAAGGAATGCTACAAGATATTTCAGAGCCAGTGCCAGCCTCCTGTGTCAGGAGACTGCTGCAATATAATTCAGAATAGGTGGAGGCCTAGCTCCTTCCTTCTTTAGGAGAAGTTCAGCTTTAATTCTTTATGCCGTCATAGGGGTTTATAGGTGTTTTATTGTTGTGGTCTAAATGCCTGCCAGAAGGTTCTGTGCCTCTCCACCCAAGACTCGTGCACAGTAAGTGGGTTGTGAAACGGCTTAAGTGTTTTAGAATCCTTGAATGTGTATTCATCGAGGTGGGGCTCTCCTGGGAGGACGCCAGGGTCAGGGAGGGGCTCTGCCCAGGAAATTCTGCTCCCCCAGGTTGTGCTGCTTTGCCTGGACTCCCAGCGGTTTTGCTTGAGATCTTTGTTCATTTTATGGCTGGATTCCAGGGCCATTCTAGCTCCACTGGGTTCCTGCAAGCCTCACATTCATGACTTTACACAGCATAGTCAGATCCAAATTACACAGGCAAATTAATTCTACCTAAAACTTTGGTCATACTTCTACTTATTATACAGGGTTAGGTTAGGATAACTGTGCAAATCATTCTGTTTTTTCCTGCCTGCTCCAAAGGAAGCAAGAGATGAACTTTTTTAAAGTCTTTAGATACCTCCAAATAAAAATCTTGTGAAAAAACATGGCACTTAATGACCTCAGTTGATGATTTAGCTTTTTTACCTTATTAACCAAAATGACAAAAACATCAAATAGATGTTGAGTGTACTGTGGGTCAGGCACGGTGCTAAGTACTTCATGTACAATACCTTATATACATATCATGTCAAGCCTACGGATAGACATCATCATTTTTATTTTACAGATCAGAAAACTGACATTTAGTCTAAATAGCTAACTCAAGGCAACACTGAACTTGAGTTAAGGAATAGTGAAGGAAGCAAACTCAGGACTGCTGGACCTCTAATCCCAAACTCATCCATTGCAATTTGTATGCTAGATTTCATCACTAATAAGATTAGCCATACTAACACAAATGATCTGACAAATCTGAAACATTTTGTACATTATTTAAGTAACTAAGGCAAATGGGGATCTTAGGATGCTTGCATTTCTGCTGCTGGTTTGGGTTTAACTCAGACTGAGGTGAAAACAAGCTTGAAGTGCACAGTGTTTTGGTTTTGAAAAGACACTGCTGCATTTTGCTGATGTTCAGAAATCAAATAGCAGGGAATATAAAAATTCTGACCTCAACTATGAAATGAGTTGCCACTCAGGTAATAATAAGTGACTTTTGAGCATGACAAAAACAAAAATGAAAAACCCAACATCTTTATATGTATAAAGCATTAAGTCTGTGAATTCTTGAAGTGACTGAAAAAAGATGAGCTCTTGTAGAAAGCATCACATCCAAGGGAACTGTGAGCCAGCTTAAGATGCATCAAGGTGCTAGGTATGGGGATTCTGCAATGGCCCCACCTCAGCTGGTGTACAGATGTTCCATGGTGTTAAACCTGGAGCAAGCTCAGTTGTAATGACATTAACCCAAGAGTTCTGATCTATTATTATTAAGCAAGTCATTAAAATCTCTCCATTATTAGGAAAGAGGTCACCTTCTCTCTGCCAATGGCCCTCCTGCAATGAGTTCACGTCTGTGCAGCTCTTTGTAACTCTCAAAATAAAATAATTTCTTTAACAGTGCTTGGCACCTCCATGAACTATGAATTTGAACTTTGAAATAGTTCCCATAGATACTGTTTTAGAATATAAAGAGCAGATAGTAGATAAAGGTACTTGGAAGTCTACACTAACCCAGGCCATTATTGGTGTGGGATGTAATGCTGTTATAGGCATCAACAACAATGCAATTTCCTCACCATTCTGTTACTTGGCATTGCACAAAATTTAACTGAATTCCCCTCTAGTTGAAGTTATTGGAAGAATTCCAGGATCTTTTGATGCTCATTTGCACATTCAATTAACACCAAACTTTTAGGGTCCATCCTACCAGATGGGGGCTGAACAAGCATGTCCTAGTCAGGGACATGGACTGGGGAAATCTCTTACTCTGAGTGAGCATGTCAACCTCTCAGATCCATTATGGGGGCTTTTTTTTTTTAAGACTAGTCAAGTGCAGTAGTGAGAAGGGTATGGGGGCTCTTTAGACAGTTTCATAATAGTATTTCCTTTTTTAAAACTTTTACTCTAGGTTTAGGGGTACATGTGCAAATTTGTTTTATAGGTAAACTGTATGTCACAGTGGTTTGGTGTACAGATTATATCATTGCCCAGGTAATAAGCATAGTACCTGATAGGCAGCTTTTTTTTTTTTGTCTTCTCTCTCCTGCCTCCCTTCACCTCTACCCTAAAATAGGCCATGTTGTCTATTATTTCCCTTTTTGTGTCCATTGTGTTTTTGTTGTTTAGCTCCCAGTTAAACATGAGAACATGGAGTATTTGGTTTTCTGTCCTTCATTAGCTTGCTTAAGATAATGGCCTCTAGCTCCATCCATGTTGCTGAAAAAAAATGACCTCATTCTTTTATATGGCTGTGTAGTATTCTATAGTATATATGTACCACATATTCTTTATCGATTTTATTGTTGATGGGCATTTATGTTTATTTCCAGTCTCTGCTTTTGTGAATAGTGCTGTAATGAACATACATGTGCATCTGTCTTTATGGCAGAATGATTTATACCTAATAATTGGATTGCTGGGTAGAATGGTAATTCTGTTTTAAGTTTTTCAAGAAATCACCATACTTCTTTCCACAATGGCTGAACTAGTTTATATTCCCACCAAAAGTGTATAAGCATTTCCTTTTCTTGCAACCTCTCCAGCATCTGTTATTTTTCGACTTTTTAATAATAGCAGTTCTTAATGGTATGAGATGGTGTCTCACTGTGGTTTTGATTTGCATTTCTCTAATGATAAATAATGTTCAGCATTTTTTCATATGCTTGTTGGCCACATGTATGCCATCTTTTGAAAAGTGTCTGTTCATGTCCTTTACTAATTTTTTTTTTTTTTTTTTTTTNTTTTTGCTTATAGTTGTGTTTAAGTTCCTGTAGATTCTGGATATTAGTCCTCTGTTAGATGCATAGTTTGCAAATATTTTCTCCCATTCTCTAGGTTCTGTTTATTCAGTTGATAGTTTCTTGTGCTATGCAGAAACCCTTTCATTTAATTAGGTCCCATTTGTCAATTTTTGTTTTTGCTGTAATTGCTTTTGGCGTCTTGTCATGAAATCTTTGCAAGCTCCTATGTCCAGAATGATATTTCCTAGGTTCTTTCAGGATTTTTATAGTTTTATGTTTTACATTTAAGTCTTTAATCCATCTTGAGTTGATTTTTGTATATGATGTAAGAAAGGGGTCCAGTTTCAATCTTTTTCATATGGTGAGCCAGTTATCCTAGCATAACTTATTGAATAGGGAATCCTTTTCCCATTGCTTGTTTTTGTCAACTTTTTTGAAGATCAGATGGTTGTAAGTGTGGAACCTTATTTGTCAGCTCTCTCTCTGTTTCATTCATCTATTTGTCTGTCTTAATACCATGCAGTATTGGTTACTGTATCCTTGTAATGTAGTTTGAAGTCAGGTAGCATGATGCCCCCAATTTTATTCTTTTTGCTTAAGATTGCCTTAACTACTTGGGCTCTTTTTTTGGCTCCCTACATCATAGTATTTTCTAATAAGCTTTTGTGTGTGTGTGTGTGTGTGTGTGTGTGTGAGAGAGAGAGAGAGAGAGAGAGAGAGAGAGACAGTTTCACACTTATTGCCCAGACTGGAGTGCAATGACGTGATCTCAGCACTACTTGGAAGCTAATGCCTTAGCTTATGCCTTAGCTTCCCAAGTAGCTGAGATTACAGGCATGTGCTACCAAGCCCAGCTAATTTTGTATTTTTATTAGAGATGGGGATTCACTATGTTGGTCAGGGTGGTCTCAAACTCCTGACTTTAGGTGATCCACCCACCTCAGCCTCCCAGAGTGCTGGGGTTATAGGCATAAGCTATGAGCCACCACTCTCTGCTATAACAAGTATTTCTAAGTGAGGTCTCAAGGATGGCTCCCTGATGCACTGCTATAGTAGCTTGGGGAACACAAGTCTGAGAGTCTTTATGAAAAAAGAAGCTTCTGTTGATAATCAGGACCATTTGTAAGGAAAAAAAATAGAAGGCAAATAAATATCCAGTCCTCTCCCCTGCAAACCTGAAAACAGCACTTGGTCTTTCTGTATTCATTTGCTTCTGGCATGAGCAGCACCACTTCTTTACACTTCTTTCTGAGACCAACAATTCATACGGCTTGAATCCCATATCAGGTCAGGGCAGGAAGTTCTGCCCTTTCCTTCCCCATTCCTGA